CTTTCTCCCTCTTGAAAATGATAATTTAATTTTTCTTGATGTCTGACTTTGTGGCAATCAGAATTCACAGGACCCCCTAGATTTTTTCTTGGGAACTCTGAGCCAGCTTTGCCCCTGGGAAGCATGGTAGTAAGGGTTTAGGGAGGTTCCTGGGGAATAGAAGTCCCCCTGTGTGATGGACTAAGCTCTGGTACAGCTGAAAGAGCTAGGAAAGTCTGGGTTCTAATCCCAGCTCTGCTCCTGTCCCTGGGAACCTGAGCAAGTCACTTGATCTTCCTGAGTCTCAGTCTCCTTGTTGGTAAAAGGGTTTGTGAAATAGGGATCATAATACCTGCTTTACTGGGTGGCTGTGAGGATTAGTTGAGGCAAAATGTATATTGCTCTTAGCCCAAGCCTTAGTAGCACATAGTAGCAGCTCAGTAAGAACAAGTTTCCCTTCAGACAGCCAAGAGTCAAACGTTAGCACAATAGAGATTTTGAAAGAAAGGTCAGTTTAATAACATTTACCATAGAGTGAAAGGGTATACTAAAAAAAAAAAAACAACAACAACAACAAAAAAAACAACTCTTCATCTTAAGACTCAAGTTGTAGAGCTGACCTTGTAGAATTAGCATGGTTATTAAACTTGCACGAAATCATTGCAGAAATGAGAATTTTATACTAGATAACTACAGGAGTCTTGGGTACTGTAACAGGCACTCAACAAATGGGCCATTTCTAGAAAGGCTAAATGAAGGGTTGAACCATCCCACCTAATTCTCCAGAGAACCTATCATTTTCTCACATGAGAGAGCCACTTCAAAGAAAACACAAACACTCACCATCAGTGGCTAAAGCTCACCCAGCTGGACTCTTCCTTCTGATTCCACCAGATGGGACAGTCCATCCTCTAAAGAAAAGAACATACCAGCTCTAAGTTTTAGGTGGGGGAGGGGAAAGGAAGGCAGGAGGAATGAATAAAATCAGAAAATCAGAACTGTTAAAAACCAGCAACTAAGAAAAAGCACACGTGAACACAAAAGGGTGCCTTTGGGTGCACACTGCATTGTATTTCCCGAGTGTTGGATTTGTGAAGGTGAATGGAAACTGAGTTGAGTTCAGGAACTGCATAATCAAAATATATTTTGATTATGTAAGATGAGAGATGTTTACCAAATTTTGGAAAGAAGCTGACCATGTCATGCAAAAAGAGCTAAAAAATACATTAAATCCCCAGGGTAGTAATGGTGTTTGTGTAGTGAATATTTGAGAAAGCTTTTCTTCCTAGATGCAAAAATGTATTGGAGTATAATTTCTTGTTATATGATGGTCTTGCATGGGTATCAGATTACATATGGTGTCAGGGTTAAGTGCACAGATTCTGAAATGAGCCAGAACTGAGTACAAATTCTGCCAGTAGTCAAAATATTCATCATGATTATAAGTTTGACCCCTGCGTTGGCTTTGCCTTTTCCTCTGGCCCCATGCTGCCTTCATCTGTCTTTGGTCACAGAGGAGCCAAATATTTATGAGTGTGGAGGGAACAGGACAAATCCATCACCCACCACTACAAGAAAACCAACCCAAAGCATGTAGGTCAGCAGTGTCATCTACATACATGGAGGGTGGCAGTTTCCCATCCCATGTTGAGAGGAGAAGACTAGTAACTTAGACCAAATGGGAGGGCTCCACGGATGGCTCCCACTTGGAGCTGAAAAGACTGACATGTCACATGTAGGGTCCAGCTTATGTGTTGGAAACATAATTGGCTGCTTTCCTTCCATTTATTTATACCAATCTCCAGTCTGAGACTAAGTTGTTTCAACCCCAGAGCAATCGACAGAGGTGACATGGAGTATACACTCTTACCCCAGAAATTTTTTTCCTTTCACTGGTTATAAATACCTCCATGCTATTGTACTTGGCGTGCCGTATGCAAATGGAGGCAGGAGTCCTAAAGCTCATTAGGAAAGGGACAGAGGCTTGGAGCATAGAGAGGACAGCACCGAGCTAAAGCTGATAACAGTGGCCTTGTCCAGAATAGTGCATGGGAGCTTTCTTATCTCGCTTTGGCAGGAGGCACTGTGGACTTCCTGTGCGAAATCAGGAGCGAAGCTGCTTTCCTCTTGTTGTTCAGCTTCCTCCCCCCTCAAGAAGGTTCCCAGCACAGTGATTATCTTTGCATCTTCAAACATGGCACAATCTACTTCCTTAAGAGCTTGATGTATTCTTAAGGCTCAGGCAAATTCCCCTCCCCCTAAATCTCTTTTCAAGTGCTGTTATATAGTAAGGCTCCTAAATGACATTCTATTTTTATGGTTCCAATTACAAAGAGTGAAAAATAACAGCCCCTAAATTAGAAAATAGCCACAGAATCTGTCCTGTTCATTTGGAGGACCTGACAGTAAGTCTGGCCTATAGTTTCCATGCTAGGGCTTATGTAGCTAGTAACTGCCCTCAGAGCCGTGGGCAGAGTTGGGACATGGGGGACGGTGGGGGGTGTCAGAGGTCGACAGCCCCAAGTGAACTCAGACAGCAGACCGTATTTCCCTTGGGAAACACCTCGACTTGCTTTTTACTCTAATGTATTTCTCTGCCTTTCCTGAAGACCAAGTGTATGAAATTAAGATCTTCGACTAAGGCCTCTCTTATTTTTCTCATTGCTTTGGGGACTTCAGCTGTTTGATGTCACAATCCCACATGTCTAATCTAGGTGCACTCATGTGTATACATTTATATTACATATACTCATACATGTACTGAGTGTGTGTGAAAGAAAGTCAAATAGAAGTTTAAGGTATGGATGTTATTATCTAGAAAATGGAGAATGCTGATAATGAAAAATAGGACAAAGTGACTTTTATGTAATGATTTAAAAATGTTATCGTTAAAATATTTCTAATAAAGGAGAAGGTGTATAATTTCTCTTTGGTTCAGTTATCACTACTAATCAATAAGGGTTAAAATGTTCTCTTATTTTACCTGTTGAGCTTAAGAAATAGCTATTAGATATTACAGAAATTCCTTGAGGAATGGTTAGCTCTTAATAATTCTTTTTTATTTTAAACCTTATAATCTAACTGTAAAAACAGATATTTTTAAAAACATTTGGGGGCCGGGCATGGTGGCTCACGCCTGTAATCCTAGCACTCTGGGAGGCCGAGGCGGGTGGATCGTTTAAGGTCAGGAGTTCGAGACCAGCCTGAGCAAGAGCAAGACCCCGTCTCTACTAAAAAAATAGAAAGAAATGATCTGGACAACTAAAAAAATATATATAAAAAATTAGCCGGGCATGGTGGCACATGCCTGTAGTCCCAGCTACTTGGGAGGCTGAGGCAGAAGGATCGCTTGAGCCCAGGAGTTTGAGGTTGCTGTGAGCTAGGCTGACGCCACGGCACTCTAGCCCGGGCAACAGAGCAAGACTCTGTCTCAAAAAAAAAAAAAAAAATTGGGGGAAACCTGACATATGGTCTAGGTACAAATACCACCATGGAATTATTGCTAATTCTATTAGGTATAAAAGTAGCATGTGATTATATTAGAAAATGTGCATATTTTTAAGAAATACTTAAGTATGTAGAGCTAAAATGACAAGAGGTCTGGAAATTGTTTTAAAATACTTCACAAAAGAAAAATCTAAGAAGAAATAAGGGATAGATGAAGCAAATGTGGCAAACTCTTAATAATTGTGAAACCTGAGTAATGGGTATATGGGGGTTTATCACACTGTTCTCTGTATTTCTCAGTATGTTTGAAAATAATAAAGAATTAAAACAAATGAAAACTCTTACCAGAAACAACATATCAGGTACCTGGTGCCTGTCAGTATGTGTACAGATGTTTATGGAGTCTCAATTACATGCTAGGCCCTTGCTTAGCCATGGAGACAGAGTGGATAAGCAGATTTGGCCCCTGTCCTCCTGTAGCTGTTGGCCCAGTGGCATTAAGTGGACACTAAAAGGTGGTGAGTACTCTGCAGGGGACATTGCGGAGTACGCAACGTGAGGGACAGGAGCCAAATCCAGCAGACTTGAAGTCAGCAGACTCCAGAACATTCTGGAGTTCTTTTCCTGGCCCAAGGACCAGCAAGGAATAATAACAGAACTTTTTCTGACCACAATCCCTTTTATCTTACCTTTTTTTCACACTTTTTCCTATCACTTTCTTCCAACCTAAGTCATATCTGCTCTTGCCTACTTAAGATGAGCCACTCATTCTTTCCAGAAATTAGGCTTTAAAATTTCTCTTGCTTTGAAAATCTCTAGAATCTGCCCAAGCCATGTACAAATTAGAGACCGGCAAGCTTTCTGCTCACCAAAAATTCTAGGTAAGAAATTCTAGGTAAGGTAAGAATGCAAAATGATTAAATGTTTCAGATAAAGAGAAAGAGAGATTTTACAGACCTTAAAGATAAACAATGTCAACACCCTTATTTTATATGTATACACTCGAGGCCTGAGTAGTTAAAGAGCTTGCCATGATATTCCAAAATTTGAACAGAAATAGACTGAATTTAATAACTGCTTCACACTATTTGTTTCCATATGTACTTAATTAGCCCTGGGAAAAGTTTGCTGTACAATTGAATACTCTGATTAAAAGCCAGCCTTTTATAGACGTGAAATTTATTATCTGTTATTTCCTTAAGGTTTCCATTCATTAACATAATTTCGTTTATTTCCCCGTGTTTGCATGTTACTTCTACTAGGAACTAATTAAAATCTAGATATTTAATTTTCTAATTTATGCATTTTATTTAATATTGAACATTTAGAATAGGAAGGATATAGGGTGGCACATTGGTATGGGGTTTATCTCGTATTGAGCAAATATATTTGCTATTTTTAAGTTTTGAGGATGAATATAGGGAAAAAAATCTAAAGGAAAGAAGATTCACACAAAATTTTTGACTTTGTTATCTGAGGACTTATCCAATGGTTTTCATTTCAGTTGTCATCATTGCATTGGCTGGACCGTGCTGCTAAGCAACATTGTGATGACTTACTTTTTTTTTTAATAGGTATGACTTTTGTTCCAATAATGAAGAGCCCTTTATCCTGGGTCCTGACAGCAATATAGGAAACAGAATTGAGAGCATCACTCAGCGCATGGCAATAATAGAAGGAAAGAATAAGGTATTGTTTGTAAAAATGAGTGCTGGGATATTTCTTCTAAAAACACCCTCTCAGCTCCCAGTTCTAGGTTATTGGAACCAGAAGTAATTCACATTTTCAAACAATTCAGAGACAAGAAAGGCAATATCTGAGCTATGTCTTCATGGAGATACACACTGAGGCTACTCAAGCTGCTGTATTCTCTAACCAACCACTAGTTCCAAGAAAATGAGTACTTGTTCCTAATGGAAGAGGTGGAGCTGTCCTCTTGAACATCAAACTGGTCCACGTCAGTGCTTCTCAATCCTGGCTGCATATTAGAACACTTTACCAATTACTATTACACCTAAATCTCTGGGCTGGAGCCCAGGGCTCATAAAAGCGTCTCAGGTGATCCAGCAAATAACCAGGACTGAAAAGCAGTGACATACACAAAGTTGGGTCCCAGTAAGAAAAGCTAGTACAAGACTTACGGCTAAAATTGAATGTTTCCATTTCACGAAATATCATGTTTTTCCTTCTGTCTTTCTTTGCAAGGGCAAAGCCTAAGTTGGGATATGCAAACACACATGATCTATCAAGATTCCTGACCTAATCAGTGTGCCATTCATTTTCAACTCCCCTAACCCCCACTGAGCCTTGACAATGGGTAACAAGCCTGTGAACCCCACAGGTGGCAGACCTAGTGGCTTTGTCCTGTTGAATTAGTAAAAAATACACTTGAAAATGTGCTATTGTCCAGCACAGGGATACTGATTCTTTAAAAAAGAAAAAATATATCAAATTACCCCTTGCTGAAATGTCTATTTACACATGCGTATCTTGATTTGGAGTAGAGACTATTAATACAGTACCCATGTCTACTTGGAGTGTGGTTCTGTTTATCTTATCTATTTATTCAGCTATATGCTTTGCATTTGAAGATGACAAAGTAGATAGATCATTCTTCATGTAGGATTTCACAATAACAACAAATAACATCTGTATTTTTCATTATGTAAAATTTTTTGACATATGCTAATGTCAACATCATTCTTTGGCAGGCCAGAGTGGTTATCTCCATTTTAAAGATAAGAAAACTGGGGTGATAAGTTGATTAAACCAAAGCCACACAACTTAAAAGTGTAAATGAGAAATTCAAACCAAAGTCTTCCTATTCCAAAACCCAGTCAACAAGGCCAACTAAGCCAATTAGCTAAAGAAATTAGACAGAAATTAGCTAAAGTGGTAATGGTTTATATAACATCAACAGTCATTTGCACAAATAAGCAGTGGTTTTAAACATTCCGTGATGTGTAGCTATTGATGAGAGAGTTTAATGAAATACTTAGAAAAGAGGAAATTCTATAAACTTGAAAGTTTAAAACGGGTGATACTACATATTTTTAAAAAGGAAATTGCCTCAGTTTACTAGCAGTAGACAGTTGTCACAAAATGCTAGAAAAATTTCAAGATGCCATTGGTTTATCAATTCGTTTTACCTTTTCCTGACTATATCAGGTGACTGTACTGTTCATTGCTAGATATTCAAACAAGAATTTATAAACATAATTTCAGTGGTAACTTCGAGTTCTATTTTGGTATTCTATCCACAGAAATATACCATAGGAAATAAAATGGAAAATGAGAAAGCTAGGTGAGGTTTCTAATTAGCCTGAACCATGAAGTAGCAGCCTGACTCCATATATAATACCTGTCAAAAACAGTTGGAGTGGAATAAAAAACTTGGCTGAGATAAAAGAACATCCTGTGTTCTTTTCACCATGATTTTCTCCATGCATGCTTGAAACAAATTTATTGTCTTGTAATTTTATAGTCATGTAGAAGATTTCAAATATAGACCTCTGTACACAGTTGGCACTTGTGCCACCTAACCTGCCAACAAGAGCCCCAGGGTCAAGTTCTGGCACTTTCTATCTGTATAACCACATGCAAATCAGTTCACCTCTCTCAATCTGAGTTCTCTCCTCCAAAAAAACAAATGGAGCAAATGATATTTGCCCTATCTAGCTTCCTGTTATAAAGATAAAATAGGTTTCACAGCCTACTAACAGCTATCATTGTAATTAGACTTTAAGTAAATTATTGATTTCATATTCTGAATTTAGGAGAATTTACTAATTTTACTTTTAGCATCTACTAATATATCTTTTTGTGTATGTGGAAAAAAGATATCCTTCATATGATGGTGACAAATGAAAGTTTTGCCATTTCTGAATTTCAGGCAGTGCTCTTTCCTTTACAATTAAAACTGTTCTTATTTTCTGTATACTTTTAGAAAGTAAGTTAAAGTCCTCATTTAGACTGAGGTGATCCCTTTATCCACTGGCACACGGTGAGCCTGCCCAGTGATGCCACTCTACAGATCAGTGGGGCAGCACTCACACTCACGCTGGAGCACCTGCCAAAATTTTTTTTGGTTTTTTTTTTGTTTAACTCAGGGGTATAGAGGACAAAAAGATTCAGTTTCCTTATTGGTAAGTTTTGGCCCAGATTTGTGAAAAGTGAGTCATCAACTGGAGTTGCTAATAACAAATGTAGGGTTTTCATATTGTTTAAATGGGGTTGCCAGACTGTTGGGTTTGTAGATACGGAGTAGGAAGTAGAAGGAACCCTGTGTTAGAAAAAACATACAGGAAATACATATCACAGCATTCATTCTGTATGGCTGGAGAATGGTGACAATTTTAATGTTTTAATAACATTTCCACTGAAATCATTTTGACTGCACATTGAGAAGTGTGTGTACTGTGTGAGACAAATTCATGACTAAAGCAATAATACTAATCACGGAGTTACAGCTTGTGTTTCAGTTCCCACACACACACCAATTTTTTCTAATTCTCACATTCTCTTTGCCCATCAACTGGCTCAAATGTGCCACCCTATGTTAATTTTAGATTCTCCCATGACCTTTACACATCTACTTTTATTTCTCCCTGAAACACTTAAAAGGAAGCTATATTAGAAATATCCTGAGATTAAAATCATTGTTCCATATATAGACTTTTTAAAAACTAGTGCTGGAAGTTAAGTAGAATGACACATCATCCCATCCATTCTGCTCCGTGAGGTTCAAACGACATGGTAGTAATAAATTACTAATGCTTAGTGAAAGGGAAGGAAGGAAGGAGCATGAAGAAACTGCAAACTTACAGTACTTAACGATAGCTTTATGAGCATTCCTGGCTCACACAAAAGAGCCCAGAGAATGGACTTGAAGGAACTGTTCCTAACATCTACATCCCCAAGGTCTGTGCGGGCCAAGTGGAAGCACCCCCAAAGTGGAAGCACCCCAAAAGTCCAAGCTGTAAAAATGAGGAATAAAAAGATATGCGACTTTCAAGAGTGTAGAATTACACTGGACTGGACACCTCACTGAAAGGCCACTTATCCTAAACTATTAAGTCAACCACAGAATTGAATTTTTTAAAATGTTGTAGGTTTATGTGTTTGTCCTCTATAATGAGGCACTGTGAATTTTAAGTAGATGTGAAAGAATTGTTACCTCTTCTGACCGATATGAACTTTGATATTCTAATGTCATTTTGGCACTTTCTCATCCTCAGTCCTCTTTCATTTGATTTGCATTGTGGAAAATGAAAATTAATTATAGAACTAATACAAACAGTTATCCTTGAGAATTTTTTTGGTGTACCTTATTAAATAAATGATTATAATTTCAAACATACATTAGAACTAAAATTCTTAGCACTCTCTTTTATTTAGTTGATATTTGGTACTCTACTTGTTATTGCTATTTTCATTTTTTTTCCCCTTGAAACCATAGTTATGAGCATTGGGGAATAGACTTGTCCCTTTAACTCAGACAACTAACACATTGAAACTTACTGCCCTATAAGAAGTTGTCTTCTAGTCCAGCCAAATACACTGACCTACAACTCAAGTTGAGCTCCTTTCTCTGACCCTATAAAGTTTAAACTTTGTTTGTCAAATATCTTTTGCTTTTTATGAAAGCACGTTTTAATTTATAATTTGATAATATATCCTCTGAAAGAAGAGAAGTACTCTAGAAATCAGATAATTTTTAATAAAGTTGATCATGGGATGTAAGTTCTACTTTATTTTTAAATTTTCTTCTTTAATTATAATCTTTTCCTTCATCAGTATTTTCAAACCACATAACATTATATCATTTGAAAAACAACTTGCAGCTTACATAAAATGCTATCAAAGAAGGAAACTAGCATTTCTGTACATAGTGGCATTTAGCTTATGTGCCCATCTCTGCTGATTAAAGGATTATTCTCAAGACAAAAACCAATTCAAAGAGTAGAGAGAACTTTACCAATAGATCTGTGTTATTCAATTTAAAGAGTTTTAAGGTAAGAAGCAATGTCTGCCCAGGCCTGTCTGTGATGCTGTGAATCACTTAACTTCTGTAAACCTCAGTTGCTTTATCCATAGAACAGGGTAATGCACCCATCTCATAGGGTTATAGGGAGGTTTAAATGAGGTAATGCCTGTAAAGTGCTTTTCACACTGTCTGGTGCGTAGCAAAGGCCACATGAATGTACCCAGAAACAAAGAAATAATGTAAATTCCCATCAACATCATTTCCTACTTCTATTTTAATAGAAGCTTTGGAGAGGTGAGTTCTGGCGCAGTCTTGACTGTGGGTAATGTGTCTGTTTTAGAAGGCATCACGCAAGCAACAGAAGAAAGACTCCAGGGCATTTCTATCGCTATCATTTATCACATAACCTGGATTCATTTCACTTCTGGGTACCTCAGTTTTATTCTCTGATTGTACTAAAATTTCGACTTATCTGACTATTTGTGACAGACCTGCAAAATGGCTACAGCCATGCCCAGATTACCTGCACAGGTCCTCAATATGGCAAATGGGTACATCTGAATGGACTTTCCCTTGCCATGAAATCCAGTTCTTGTTTTCAGTTGCTCTGAATTTAGCAAAATCAATCTCATTTTTATAAAAACCCAAACATAACTTATAGATGCAGGTAATTGCTATTTATAATTTCAAATAATCTCAAGCCAACAGAATTGAGTTTTCTACTTATTTATTGAGCAAAAATAAATCTGAGAATCTAAACAAGTTTTTCGACTTAGGCCCTTCAGGATAAACACTTGAGAACTAACTGCTTAAGAAGAACAGTGCTGAAGCAAGCATGAGAAGGCTGCATTTGAGCTCCCTGTTTCTGACCTGTTGCAAACTGCTTTGAAGCCCTGAGCCCAAGCTTCCTGAGACAACATGAGGGAGTCAGAGTCTCATTTGATGATCTCTGCTCTTCCAGCTGCCACCAGCTAACAGTCCTTTATGCTGTCACCTAACAGCTTCTCTTCCAACTACTTCCATTTTCTTCCACGACTCTTATGTGGTGGGTACAATAATTAAAAGGAAGTGGCTATCCAGAATTTTTTATTTCCCACCTCATATAAAGATTAATAATCAAAATAAGGAAAGAGATACCTGAGCTCTCTTTCATATTCTTCCTCATGAGTTATTTGCCTTCCTATGAGTGTTTCCTTGCAAAAGAGAGAATAATTTACATTTGAGCTTCAAATGAGGAAATTCTCCATCACCTTAAAGGTTATTAAGAGCAGGGATTGTGTCATATTCATCTCTGTCTCCCTTACAACAACTGGGCAATGCCTTGATAAGCACTCAGTAAATGTCTGCTAAATCGAATGAAAAATGTCACCTATTGCAGATATCTTCACTACCAATAATTTCAATAATACACAGAGTATATATAGGCGGATGTCATTAAGTACATCCTTCCAACAAACAGAAGAGAAAGCCTTGTGTAATACTCACTATACCTTGTGAAAATTACTGAGAATTTGGACCAATGAATTTGCTGGCTAAAAAAATCAGGAGCATGTTTTTAAGTCTTTCTGATCTATAGATTAAAGACAGAAATACCTTAATTTATTAGATGGGACAGGAGAACACAAGTAAAGTGCGTAGGAAATTATTTAGAAACTCAGAAAATGTTAGGACTCTTCTTAATGGCCAAGCCGTTTATACGGTTACGTTCACCACCTTGGAAAGTCCATTGCCACATTTCAGCCTACGCATTACTTTAGCCTGTAAGCCACTTGATCATCATACTTCAGCTAGGAGACTCTATTAGTCTGGAGGCATAAACACGGCCTCTATAATTTCAAAGCCCATAACCAGTTATTCATGTCTCAGGAGACAGGCTGCAAAGATTTATAAGTAACTGGATCAACTTTATTTTTCATAATTTTAGGTATGAAAAACTAGCTTTTTCATTTTTTTCATATAGATACATTACTTTTTATGCAAGCTTGGGTTAAATTTAAGAACGCTCAACACCTAGCACTCTGGAAGGCTGAGGCGGGAGGATAGCTTGAGCTCAGGAGTTCGAGACCAGCCTGAGCAAGAATGAGAACCCATCTCTAGCAAAAATAGAAAAAAATAGCCAGGCATTGTGGCGCACGCCTGTAGTCCTAGCTACTCGGGAGGCTGAGGCAGGAGGATCACTTGAGCCCAGGAGTTTGAGGTTACAGTAAGCTATGATGATGTCACGGCACCCCAGCCAGGGAGTGAGACTCTGTCTCAAAAAAAAAAAAAAAAAGAGAATAAGAATGCTCAACAATTTATTTCATATTGCTAATTCTTTTCTTTAACAGAAGACAATGCAAATCTTTAAGCTGTCTAAATTTTTCTTTCACTACTTTGTTTCACTACTTTTTAGATATCACAGTTTGAAAAGTGTTTTCAAGTTCATGCGAACTTGACTACTAATTTCTTTGAGGCTAAGATGTCAAATAGCAGCACTAAAATCTAGTGAAACAGTATTATTATATTAATTCATAAATTCTATCTTCATTTTCTGATTAGGAATTGACAGAACTGAGAAATTACGTAATTTACAAACACACACACAGTCCCCTTCAGGACCTCTGGAGGCTGCCTGCCACATTATTTGAGCACGTTAAAAAATTATTCAGCCACTTTCTCTTCTGTCCTGGCTCACTTAACATGCCTGTTACAGAACCAAACAGCAGAGAAGGCTTCGTCCCCAAATGGCATCCATGCTCTCAGGTCACCCAAAGGGGAAGGCCTCAGCCTCACCTGTTCCTCTCATTGACGTGGAACTGACCACCTCGTAGGGTAGGACGTGCAGTCCCACATCTCAGCTTCGGCTCTGTAATTGTTACGCCAGCAGCATGAGATAAATAAGATTGAAACCCTCATATGAGTCGGATGTCATAGGCCCCGGTCTCCTGAGGACCTGCTTTCCTGTTATTTTTCCATTCTTGCTGGGGCTCGGCAAGGGGAGAGCTTTCTGGTAACCACTACCCATGCAATACTGTCCTTGCTGAATGAATGGAATAGCTGAATCATTTCAACGCTCTGAAGTAGCTTAGGGATGTTCAAATCGGTCTTTGTCCTATTGCTAGCTAAAGCTTCCTTTTCTTTTGCAGACGGCCAGTACCTTGGTTGTGGCTGACTCTAGACTTTCTGGAATCTACAGTTGCATGGCTTCCAATAAAGTAGGGACTGTGGAACGAAACATAAGCTTTTATATCACAGGTAAGCTACATATCCTATACCCACAGATAGCCTGGTGACCTTAGTCCCTCTTCAATCTTGTTTGCTTTTATTGTACTTATAGCTTGAGTGATTTTTTTTAAAGAAAGCATTTCATAGAATTGTCAAACTTTGAGTACTTTCATCCTTGCTCTCAGGAATAGAATTCTACATCATTGGATCTCCTAAACTGTTATTTCCCTGAATTCTCTTTTAGAGTTATTTGTGTATGCCTCCCTCCCAGACTGGATTGTGAATTTGGGATCTTGCATGTTGATTTTTTAACTCCCTTCAGTACTAGCATGGGGTCTGGCATACAGCAGTTGTTCAATAACAACCAAGGAAACCAATTATAATACCTATGATGACATGGTATTTTTTTAACTAAGAAGCTAATTGTTTCACAACTTAGGGTAATACAGACTTTTGGGGGAATGAGGCTCTCCCATAGAAATCTCAAAGTGAGCTTTGTTAACAATAGTTAATGGGCTATTTTTTGATAGCATTTAAGAATTTTTAGCCTTAAATATGATGGTCTCTGCAAATCTGAAAACCTCCAAGGTACACAAATGGCACTCCATGGGTACAGGAAGGAAGTAAGTAGCTCAAAGTATAAAAACAATTGTCTGGCTCCACGCTCCCCCAATTGCTGAGGAAACCTGGGCAGTCTGCCAACCTCTGGAAACCACACTGCATGGGTCAGGTTGCAGAAATTGCCAAGGGGTCTCCAGAAAGAAACAGGCAGGTCCAGCTCCATAAGACGTGTGGGTTGTCAGATCACAGGAGCCTCAGGCGAGTGAGCCACGCCCCAGAAAAGCTGTGCCATGGGAGATAGCCTGGAGTAGACTCTCACATAATGTCAGAGCTGGAAGAGACTCTGGACGCTACTCAGTATTACAGCTCCCACGTTTTCCAGATGAGGAAATGGGATTTGGAGAGGTGGAGAGGTGCACAGCCGAGCCGCTCTAGACGAAGTCAGTCTCTCTCTCATGTTGGAGAAGTAGAAGGGAACTTATGTTTGCATTCATTCCCAGTAGAAACAGGCCTTATTTAGAAAAGGATTCAGACAGATCTCACACAGACTGGTTCTCTAATAAATCTCAGATGATTTGGACTAATTAAATACAAAAGTTTGTATTGTTCTTTATATTTGGTTGTAAGCAATTCTATAGCCGCTGTATGCCTGATTTAGAACACAGCAGCACGAGCAATGCCTATTCTGTCCTGAACATTCCACAAGTTTGTGGCAGTTTAATGAGCACCATTAGACAGTACAGTTTACCTCTGTACTGAGCACTTGAAGGGACATCAACGAAGCCTTGTCTTTCTAGGAAGACCATTCTCACACCAAGAATACAAAGAAGAAATGATAAATGACACATATCCTAGTATCAAAATGTGTGCAGAAGCAATGTAATGAACGAACTGACTCTCTAAAGCCATTGATGTCTGATAGAGATATAATACAAGCCACATATGTAATGTAAATTTTTCTGGTAACCACATTTTTAAAAATTAAAAAAAATAAGAAGATAAAATTCATTTTATTTAACCCAATATATCCAAAATATTACAATTTCAACATGTAATCAAAATTTTAAAAAGTAGCACACTATTGCTTCAGTTTTTAAATTTAAATCAACTTAAATAAGATAAAACAAATGAATACACTTCAGTTCCTCAATCACACTAGCCACATTTCAAGTGCTCAAAAGCTGCATGTGGCTCATGGGTACCATATTGGATAGTGCGGCTCTAAGGAAAGAGGCAGGATTCATGACAGTTTGGGGCAGCAGGGAGAGGGGTGGAATGTGAGTAAGTAACAAAGAGGACAGTCTTGCCCTGACGTTTTCAGAGCCAAGGCAAGAGTAGCAGTGGAGGTCCACAAACCATGTATCTAACTACTGACAAGTTCTAAATCAAGCAAACAAGCAGTTCTATATGTTTCAGCCTCCTATGGACAAATATACTTTCATGACGACTTGAAAGGCTAGGGTAAGTTTAGAACTTCAGGACTACTCAGAGTTCCAGAGCAGATTGTAGTAACACCTGGCAATGTGGAAGGACTGGCTCATCCATCTCCTCTTGACACCCTTCACTCTGTCACACACTACAAGGGGCCATGCACCCGCGAGTGTGGTCTTTCCAGCCCATACATCTAAACTCTTCCCATGCCCCTCACAAATTCTTCCCATGGCCACTTCTTGGACGGACCTAGAGGTATGCACACCAACACGCAGTCTGATCTCAAGAGGCCAGACCTAGGGAAGAGGGAAGAAGACTGAGCCAAACTGGAAGCAGACTTGAGATCATCTTTATAGGGAATTTTGAAATCTCAAGGACCCCCAAGCATGATGTAGGAATAGAGTGACACAAGCTCTGGGTAGGCATTGTCCACTTTGCCCCATAGACTCTTCACATTGTGGGCAGGGGGACTGCCAGAACGGAGTCATCTAAAGGCCCAGGACAGGGACCCTTCTTGCCTGGGTCTGAAGACAGTACTATAAGAGGATGTGCTAAGAGCAGAGGAGAATGTCATGCTCATTTCCTTATTGTTCAGCGTTCCCAAGGAAAGTTCAGCGATGCCTAGCATTTATTACAGCATCAACATCTGGCTGTCCATTGAGCTTTTCATTGCTGCATCATATTTCTGTGCATGATATTGTTGCTGAAAGGGCCCCAGCTGATAAAGTTGATCACCCACTGAATTCAGGCAGAAATTCCCTCCCACCTCTCACTACATTATACAATTTATAACTCTGGAGGGTTTGAAACCTGTTCTAGATCCCTAGGCTTATCCATAGAAAGGAAAAATGAGAATTCAATTCAAACATAGCTACTTGAAGCTACAATACTTTTCCTCTAGAAATCCAAGAGCTTTAATCTTAAAACTGAACACAAGTTGAGCCAATCAAGCCCCCATTGCCTGGAATATACTTTCTCTGAATTCTTTTCTACTGATCTTGAAAAGTTCTAGTTTTGATTAGTGATACTAGATTAATTTGATTACATTTATTATTTATTTTAACTAGTTATTTTGTTTTTTCCTCCTCAAGTCTTTGTTAATGAGATTTATTCTCACTAGAGATGAGACTAAATACTCTTAGGAATGATGCACCTTACATGTGCATTTTCTGAAAATATGAACATAATATTTGTTCAGTGTTTCTACTTGACTCAGTGAGGACAATGCTTTAAAAAGTACTTGTCTAAAATTTTAATGCTCTAAAGTTCTAGATTTGGATCTTTACTGAACCTCATTGTAGTCATGTTGTCCCTTCCTTAAAATACAGTAACTTATAGTTGCTTCCAACTTGATGAGAACTGGTTAACTGTGGCCATTGGAACCCTCAGCTGCCTGTACCTCAAACTTTGGCACTCACTTGTACATGGAATCTACTTCCAACAAGTCAAACTTCCTAGTAACCACTTACTTTCTTTTTAGAGAATGTTATTTCCATTCTTTAGTGGAAGTAAAACCTTCTTTATTTCCATCTGACAAATGATCCCTCTCATCCCTATAAATTTCTATGCCTCTCTCTTTCATGAACTTAATCCACATGTCTGATTCAATCAGGTCGAAACGTCTACTCTTATGCACCTTTATAAATAGATGACTCTTTCACCTAACCCTAAGTTGAATGTCTCTTCTGAGCAAGGGTTGATTCTTCTCCCCGACACCTCATAAGATGCCATGGATGTGCTTTGCGTTAGATGGATGAGTGTTATTTGGTGGTCATGATGATTGTGCTGAATCTGCAACAGATACTTAAGTGTGGGAAGACTTCTATATTTTCATGTTGAGGGTTAGAAGGCAATTCTTTCTTGGGTCTGTTTTTGTACACAGACTAAAAAAAAAATCAACACGAATTAAGGGGAAAATCCCTCTGGGTTCATTAAACAGTTGAGGACATTTTATTTATCATCTTCCGTGGATGAAAAGAGAATACCAAAGAGGTTATACTGGGAAATAATCATTTCCACGAGGCTATCTGATAACATAAACCAAATTAGCTTCAGTAACCATGTCCCCCATATAATAAACAGGGCTCAAAACGAATTTGGTACTTTTCTTTTCCTATATGTGTGTTTTTGCTGTTTTGCTGGCACTCAGCATGACTATGGGTGTGTTAGCAATTACTGAGGGTGAAACAGGAACAGCACTGCCTTATCTCCCTGGTTTCCCAATGTCACTAAATGCATTTTATTTTGAGATTCCTGGTGGTGCTTGGCAAAGATAAACAAAATCTTCCATCAGGAAACCTGTGAGCTATTTCCACAGGAAGTTTCAAATCACTAAAGTAAATAGAAACTCTCTACATGATCTCAATGGTGTTACTTGTGCTCGGTTGGGTTCTAACTACCAGGATGAGACCTCATAAATGGAAAGTCTGTGGTCGTGTAAGAAATGATTTGATTGCAACCAGTCAGTGCACAATACCTCTGCTCTAGTATCTGTGTAAAAGTTGATGGCTCTTTTACTCCTCATGCTTGGAAAATGTCCCAAATATAAAAAGATGCTGAATTAGAGGAGCTATTTCTGACACCTTATTGTTATGTTAAAAATGACTGTCAGCTACTCCTGCATCTCCTGGCACATTCTAAGATTTTCATTTTAAAAGCAGAAAAACCTCCACTGGTATCCTCTCTCTTCAACCATTGACAGCTTCAGCTTCATAAGCTACTGTAACACCCCCGCTCCCAGGTTTCAAATGAATACTTTGGCATTTCTTCAGACGTGACACTTTATAATAAAGCCAAAGCCCAGAAAAATCAGAAAAACAAGCAAAGTGAGATTTAGGAAAGAGTTGATATGATATCTAATTTTGGACTATTGTCCCCTTAAGGTTTAAAGGTTTCTTTATAGCTTTGTGTGCAAAAGATAATAATAAGAATAGCATAACATAATGCTTTTCATCTTCAAAGCACTTTGTAAAATGTTGGCCCAAATTCTTTGCTTAAATACAGATACACCACTAGTATTAAGCAATTGGAGGGCTTTAAGAGCAGGTCAGTTCAGGGCCAGTAACCAATGATTTTTTAAAGTTCTCTGGTGAAATGGTCCAAAATGACACTAAGGAACCCAAAAGTTAAATGATGGTCCAGGGTAAGAATACTGAGGAGGAGGGCTCATGGGGTGTTGCTAAGGGCTTGGGAGATGGAGATGCTAACATTGAAAAAAGTGGCTTTTAATGACACAGTCATCTTCAGAACATGTTAACAATGTTTTTCAGAATAAATTTGATTTTTTAAATTATTCTTTCCCCATCCCCCATCACACCCACTTTGTAGTCTGGCAACTCTTCCAGATTATTCCAGATTATTCTATTTTCAGAAGAAATCTTTGCTTCTTTATGTCTGAGTAGAACCATGACCATAAAAGGGGTCCTGAGCAAGTCAGCTGGTTCTTCTCTGGCCCACTGTGCCAACAAAGACCAGGGCAAGTAACCTGGGAGAGCAGCAGGAGGAGGGTAGTGAGTGACCATTGCTTTTCACTAGAAAAGTTGAGAACCAAAGTGGCATTGATTGGCATGTACCCAGGACTTCCTATTCTCACTTGTTTGCAAGCTATTTTGGATAAGTTTGACCATAAATGCATCTTTGGTTTTTAGTACAAATTGCTCTCATGTTATTTCATTATTTTGACCACTTCGCATGTCCACCTACCAGTAGGAGTACTATACATGATAAAGAAATGGGAAATGGAGTGAGCATCCTAAGTTGGAAAAAACATTCCACTTTGAGGAGCAAGTTTGGGGAAATAAGGAGAAGGTACCATCCTGATAACTGACCCATTTTGCATTTCCTACCTCATTTCTGATAGAATGAAGTTCTACCTACCATGTTTGATCAGTTACCCTAAAATAAAAACATAAATACTCATCCTTTTTAATGCTGATGCTGAGAGGATTTGTGTAGGAACAATTCTTAAGATCTTTCAATATCTCATTATGAGACATTGGTTTTTCTACGAACTGAAGTTCTTTATTCTTATCTTACAGACGTGCCAAATGGATTTCATGTTAACTTGGAAAAAATGCCTACAGAAGGAGAGGACCTGAGACTGTCTTGCACAGTTAACAAGTTCTTATACAGAGACATCACTTGGATTTTACTACGAACGGTTAATAACAGAACAATGCACCACAGTATTAGCAAGCAAAAAATGGCCGTCACCAAAGAGTACTCCATTACTCTTAATGTCATCATCAAGAATGTTTCTCTGGAAGACTCAGGCACCTATGCCTGCAGAGCCAGGAATGTATACACAGGGGAAGAAATCCTTCAGAAGAAAGAAGTGACAATTAGAGGTGAGCACTGCAACAAAAAGGCTGTTTTCTCTCGGATCTCCAAATTTAAAAGCACAAGGAATGATTGTACCACACAAAGTAATGTAAAACATTAAAGGACTCATTGAAAAGTAACAGTTGTCTCATATCATCTTGATTTATTGTCACTGTTGCTAACTTTCAGGCTCAGAGGAGATGCTCCTCCCAAAATGAGTTCGGAGATGATAGCAGTAATAATGAGACCCCCCCAGGTCCCAGCTCTGGGCTCCCCATTCAGGCCAAAGGGTCTGCTCTCTGAGGCCAACCTGGTGCGCATTTGGATTTGGAGGATCCCTGCACTGCATTCTTTGTGTTTTTGCTCTTGCTGTTTCCTCCTGCCTGATAAGCAACAACTTGGGACTGATCCTTTCCTTCCACTTTGATGCCAACCTCTTTTTATTTTTAAGTTTTGAAGCTGCACAAACTGAATAATTTAAACAAATGCTGGTTTCTGCCAAAGATGGACATGAATAAGTTAATTTTCCAGCTCAGAATGAGTACAGTTGAATTTGAGACTCTGTCGGACTTCTGCCTGGTTTTATTTTGTACTATTTCATCTGCTCTTGATTTGTAAATAGCACCTGGATAGCAAGTTATAATGCTTATTTATTTGAAAATGCTTTTTTTTTTTTACATTAAGCACATTAATCTCAAACTGGAGCTTCTAAAATGGGCCCCAGGGGTGTAAGATGTTGGTGTAATTGGGAAATAGTAAAGCTTTATCAAGGTGTGAATTATGAGAGTCCACCAAGATCAAATCCACTTCCCTCCTCTCCTGCAATCTAGGTAATTATGCAATTTGTACCACGTAGACTAGTCCAGCAAAAGATTTCCTCCTCACTGCCTCTGACTGGACTGCATAGCTACCAACAGCACCTGTAAGAAAGTGGATCATGCCTTAATATTAAATTTTCTTGTTCCCTGGTTATTCCTTTAAAGAACCTTATCATGTTAAAATAATGGCATCCAAAGGTGTACCACAATCAATTTATCAAGGAAATAAAGGATTCTTTAACCAAAGGTTTAATGCATTTTTCTAAATGTAAATTTAAAATTTGTCCATTAAAAAGTCTACTTTTCCCATATGCAAATGTTAATAGGATTTTTATGGGGATTAAGAAATGGCAAAACTACGCAAGCAGAATTCAGAGTCATTTAAAAATACATGCCATTTTTAAATCAAGAGAGACTGTAATTAATATCTTGTTTTAAGCTTGCATTTGAGGGAAAAGTGACTTTTTCATTGTTCACCAATTTAATATACATTGTTCTGTTGCTCTAATTTATGATTGATCATTATATGTGACTTGCATGAACTATAGGAAAAAAAAAACTATAATGACCAAAATAGCCATGGCTGACAAACACAGTGGCTGGGCAGTTCAATAGGAGGTGACAAATATGACAACTTTTCAAGCTTGGGAACTCACCAGACTGTTTCCTCCTTTAGGTAACAGACTGTGTCCCACGCTAAACTTGTCTTTCACGTGGGAATTGCTTTTGTCAAGTGTGAAAGAGTAAACAATAGCATTTCCCCAGAATGCCAGTTTCATGGAGCCCCTAATGCTCTGAAAACAATTAGTCACCTGGAAGTTGTCAGCCCAAAGGAAAGAATAATCAATTGTATCTTGAAATTTTACCTATGGCTCTTTGGCCTGGCGTCTTTGTTCATTATAAGTTAGTGTGTTCATTCAGGAAACAATGTCTTAGCACCACAGAACGTGGGGGCCTCAAGTTTTGCTAGCCTAAAAAAGCAAATAGAATGATTTAGGGATCGCTTATGAAAAAAATGGCAAATTGGACATGCAGAACCTACTATTTCTTTCCCCTTACTGCAATTTTTGTGGGGAAGGGAGGATGTTAGTATTTACAGAAGATGATTTTAAGTACTTCCAAGAGATAATTTTAAGAATTCCATAGAGCAATTAATTGCTCACTGTGTAATTAATCCTTCTGGAGAGGTTTTTTTTTTAGAAAGAAACTATTGGATGGGTTTTGTTTCTTGTTACTCCCTGGGGTATGGAGTGAGCTGAGGATAACAAAGAAAAAGAAAAAGACAAAAAAAAAAAAGAGCCTAAAATGCAGAACGACTGAGATGGAGTAGGGGATGTGAGGCTGGTTCCTCAGTCCCCATTCCAGATGGAGAGCAGAAGCTCTGCATCTGTGGGACCTGGCAGATCTCTGGAGCCATAACACTGAAAAGTAAGAGACCCTGGTGGGGAGCTATCTTTGGCTACTGATAACCAGCGGAAATATCCTGTTAATTCTGATTTTCTCAGTTTGGAGGGATCAGCTACACTTTGCTAAATTTGTTAAATTTTGGAAAGCTGTTATCTACTTCCATCAAGTAACTTTAAACATCGAGGTTTTCAAATACAGGTTCAATGTACCTTTCATGTTTAAAATGTCAAAATAGATTATTATAATGTATAAAGTAGGAATTGATAAAATATGATTCCTGGGTTGATGGATCATTTAGAAACTAGCCAAAAATGACTCTCCTTTTAACACAGGAGAACATTTTTCAGAAATGGGTACAAAGAAAAATTTATAATACTGTGTTTCAGAATGTTCATGTGAGCCTTGTATTTAATTGAGAGTCCCATGGTTATTCTGCAGCCTTTTTGCTGCTTCTATTGTCTGAAGTTTGTTTAGTACAAATAGGGCCTTTGGGAGTTCTTCATGACATTAATGTTAAAATAAAATGTTCTCTTCTATGTAAGCATTGTTTTCCAATACACCTGTCAGGGAAGTCCAAATCCTGTCTGTGTTAATGTTACAGTTTGTGGCTATGAAAATAATTTGGGTGTCGAGGGCCCCGTATTCAGACTTCCTTTTTATAAGACCTATGGGCAATGACAGATTATTTTATCATAGTTAATGCATGGGAAATAGTAAATGTGCTAGAGGAAGCTATTAAAAGTATAACTCAGTGAACTGGGTTTTAAATGAGCTATTTCGAAGTTGGCTTGCCATTGTGAAAGATACTAAATAGTAATGATAATGTTCTTTATTATCTTGTCATGTTTCACTGATATGTCTGAAGCCTTTGCTGTGTAAAAATGTCAAAATTGTAATAAGCAAGCATGTACAAGTCATCATAAATTTAAATTTTTATACAGGGTTGCATTTTCAATTAGGAAAAGCTGTTTGACAGATTGCACAGAATGCAAAAACAAATATCGTAATGGTTCTGCTTAGGGGGCAAGATAAGATAGGAAAGACATGCTGCGAGAGGCAAAAGGGTGGTTGCTGTCACTTATTCCACACTATGTTTGAAGAAGTTTTTATAAATCAGAGCGCTTCCTTCAACACTCTTTTTTGCCTTCAGATTTCATTTTTTATAAAATGAGAAGACTAATGATAAGCTATAGAAATTAAAATTTATTGAGAAATCTGTTTCTCCTAACAGATAGTAACTCTACCATGTTATACTACTTCAACATGTTATAAAATTTATATGATAATATACTTTTTAACCTGGGATTTCTAAATTGCTTTAATGAATGCTAATCCTGAGAGTTTCCCTGCAGGAATCAAAAGAGAAAGGTTTTGGGACTCGGCAGAATCCTGCAGGGACATGGAATCAAAGCCATTGCAATGTATCATCTTTTGTAGCGTTGTAATCACTCCTAAGCTGCCTTCACAGGTTTAGTACACTAAGATGAGGAAATCAAAAATGGTCAGAGAAAGCTCACACTGTGTAATTGAAACCAGTGACGCAGAATGTGTAAGTTATGCCAAAACTCTTTTGATTTCTGTTCCAGGATTTGCAACAAGAGGGGAAACGGATGATTTGGGAGGGTGGGAGAGACATTAGGAGTTGTTTTTATTCTTTTATCTTGGGAGCTTGAGCTACCAATCCAGTACCCACCTAACTAGAATGTATACACATCAGCAGGACTGACTGACTACTTCATTAAACAGAGACACTGTACTCACTGGAGGCCTTGGGGGTACTGCTGTTCCTGTGTGGGATTTTAATGTTGTAATGTATTGCATCTTAATGTATTAAATTCATTTTGTTGTACTATATTGGTTGGCATTTTATTAAAGTAAATTGTATTGTATCATATTTGTATGTTTTAAGAGAAAATAATATAAAATATAATATTTGTACTATTATATAGTGCAAAAACCACAAATCTGTGCCTCTGCCTCTTGAATTAATCCTTTGGTCGCTTGCATTTGGGAAGGGAATGGAGGAAGGAAATAATCAATAAAGCTTTCAAAGTTCAAGAAATTCTCCTGTTTGGTCTGCTGCCTTACGATTTAGGTTACTGACAGTTGAGTGACACAAACATGCCCTCACAAACACATCAATAAAAATACACACAAGATTATATTAGCCCATCACTACACCACCATATATTTATATACAAATTCATTATAAGCCTATGTGCAAAATCACGTTTTTGATTTATAGCCCCTCAACTACTATGCAAAATCCTTGGGTTTAGAAAAGCTTCTCTCAAAAAAAGGAAGGAAACTAGTTGGCCAGGCAAAGAACCTTTGTATTGAAATCTAAAAATATAGAATGTAGTCCTTGATATTACTGTGTCCTAACAAATTTCAATTTATTTCAGCACCTTATTAAAGAGGAAGCAGTAGGTTAACCACTGAAGGGAAAGTTAGGGAACAAAATGCGAATGAAATCTTACAGTTGAGTTTTGCTGTTTCTCTATATACTTATAACGTTGGTGTGCATATACAACAAAAGAATAAAATTGGCAAGCAATCACAACTCCCTTTCTTTCTTCACTAGATCAGGAAGCACCATACCTCCTGCGCAACCTCAGTGACCACACAGTGGCCGTCAGCAGCTCCACCACTCTAGACTGTCATGCTAACGGCGTCCCAGAGCCTCAGATAACTTGGTTTAAAAACAACCACAAAATACAACAAGAACCCGGTAAGAGATTTTGTTTCTTGTGTTTATGCTTTCTCATCCTTCATCATCCCCTTTTCCCCTAACATTTTATCACCTGCTTCCAATATATGTAGAACCACTTGCTGATAGAGCTACAAACATTGGGCTCTGGCTCATGCTTATATCAACTTCAAATGCAGAATATCTGTGCCACTACTTATGCAGACCATATTCCTAACCCTGTAGAAAGATCCCTACAGAATCTTTAATCCCAACTGGAAAGATTGAAATAGTGCATTCAGAAAGGAATGAGAAGGGGGCACTTTGAAAATGGTTCAGTTCACCGTGACAGTGGGGAAAGTGAAGAGTTAGTTTCTTGGCTTGAGGTATTGCAAAGCTTTGAACACGTGGCATATATAAAGTTCAGAGAGATAGATCTATAATATTTTAAATTCACCTACACCAATTTTAATGATTTGGTAAAAAGAATACTATTTTATATGATATTTTATCATACTGGTTAAAAAAAAAGAATCTAAACTAGTGGATATAGGTTTATTTTCTTTCAACAGTAATACAATCATCCCTCAGTATCCATGGGGGATTGGTTCCAGGACCTCCTGCAGATTCCAAACTCCACGGATGCTCAAGTTCTTTATATAAAATGGTATAGTATTTGCATATAACCTATGAATCCTCCCATATATTTTAAATCATCTCTAGATTACTTTTACAATACCTAATACAATGCCTATACATCACTTCATTCATGTGAATTCAATGTATTATTTGGTACATGGCAAATTCTTTGGTTTTTGGAATTTTGTAGAATGTTTTTTCCAAATATTTTTGATCCATGGTTAGTTGAATTCATAGAACTGATGGATATGGAGGGCTGACTGTATTCTTAAAAACAACTAGACTTAAACCAATAAGTATAAGCACTATCTATTGCCTGCCTCATAATTCTATGGTTAAATAAGATTAAATTGAATTTATTTATAATTTTGATTGATAATTATATTTGCATTAAAAATAAAATTGCCATTTATTTGCAATATTCCAACAACTTAAATCAAATAAGTGGCAATATGGAGCTGTCCTTAAATGTGAGTCCTCTGCTCAAAATGAAACTTCCATTTGAGTTTGAGGCACTGAATGGGCTTGTGGTAGAACAACTCCAAATTTTAAGGTAGCTACAAATGCCTTAGAAAGGCCTTACATTCAGCAGGTCCAAAACCAATCATATTACATCATTTTTCTCCATAAAGTAGCATTTCCTCTTGTACTGACATCATATACTTAATCATCCAAACTAGAAGGTGATGACCCCTTCTTCGGCCTCCTCATCTAATCGATCACCAGACTGAGCAGGTTATACATACAACATACTAAATATTTCTCAAATCCATCCCTTTCTCTGCTTCCCCACTAGTCTCTCAGTTCAGGCACTCATTATCTATCCTCTGAACATCTTCAGTGGTCTCCTAACTTGTTTCCCTATCTCTCTTTTCTCTCTTTGCATCTGTCTTCCACACAGCAGTTTAAGATGCAGCCGAGAATATGTCATTTCCCTGCTTCAAGTCTCCTACTGGCTCCCATCACAGTTTGACAAAGTTTGAACATCTGACAGAGACGGCCCTTAACACCTGGCCCCCGACTTCTCCTGCAGCTTTCTGCTAGCTTCCCCTGCCTTGAACTTCATATTCTAGCAATGCCAAACTCCTGTAGATCACCGCGCACATTATGCTGCTTCAATTCCCTCTACTTTTTTTGTTCTTGTGTCCCCTCTGCCTGAGTACCTTCCCTTTCTTTACCTAATGCCTACCCATCCCTTAAGACCCAGATTGGGTGTCCTCCCTCCAGAAGGCCTTACACAACTCCCACAAATAGAAGGTAGCTCCTCCATGAGTCTTTATAAATGTTTCTACTTCTCTCTTACTGAGTTTTTAAAAATAATCACCAATTCATGTGTGTCTGTATTATCTATGCATATTTCTACTGCTCTCTTACTATATTGTTTTTACTCACCAGGTGATATGTGTCTCCTCTCCAGAGGGCAGACAGTATATCTTATTTGTTTCATTTGTATCTTGTCTTATATCCTCAGAACCTAGCACAGAGTTTGGCAATCAATAAATGTTCCATCAATGAATGAATAGTGGTTTTCAGGAAATCTTATTCTAGCCTTGGCAAGTTCATTTAGTAGTACAAATGCTTGGATTTGGGGTGGAGTTGGGGCCTATATCAGAATTTTTAAAGCTTAAGGACCTTTGGAATATCTTTAGTCCAATATGTAGAATAGAAAACTTAGGCTCAAAGAGGTAAAGTGATTTGCCCAAGATGACACACTACCAAGATGGGTCGTTTCATGGAAAACTAATCCCCTGAGATGTTCTACCAGAATAAAAGGATGAATGAATATATGAATAAATAAATAGCTTGTGAAAGGATGTGTGCAATATCCTCCCCTTAGAGATTCAGAGTTCACATTAGCATATTAAAGAGCCAAAGAAGAAACATGGTAAACTGTGTTTTCAGTTCTGTACCACCCAAACTTACTTGATCACAAAATACATTTATGAAAAATTAATATAAGATGTTAAGTGATTCTTTAAAAGAAGTAAATGTGATACAAGTTTAGTTTCCATCGTTTGGAAGTGGGTTAAGGAATCAGAGTTAAAACAATTTTGAAAGTTCATGACTATTATGGGACTAGAGGATAGACAAGGCAAGAGAATGTGCCAAGGCAGCTACCACCAACAGAGAAAGATTATGATGTCCTGGGGAGATCAGGGTTTGAGTTCCAGCTTTGCCCTCCGGAGTCATGTAAGAATTTGGCCCACTCACTTGTCCTTACCCTCTAAGCCCCCATTTCCTTATTTATAAAATTGGGATAATACTGACCTCCCAGGGATGTGGTGAGGTTTAGACGAGTAAACATTAACTAAGTCATAGCTTGGTAAATGCTACCTCCGACCCACCTCATTTATACAGAAATTGTCCAGTGAATTGTCAGAATTCACTGGGAAGTGTCAGAGTTAATTAATACGTCAGCTCAAATGTCAAACAACCCTAAAACAAAATACTAAAGATACCTCTACCACCACCTTCCAGCTTTCTTTGATCTTCTAAGGCTCAAAAGAACAATATCTAAAACAGGTCCTATAAATTCTTATATAAAATCTTTTATAAATATTCTAGTATGCTACTATTAGATTTGTTAAGCTCAACTATGCTGTCATCAATTGTATCTCTTTCCTTCTCTCTCTTCCCTTTTATTCATTCACTCTGTAAAACTACTATAGCCCCTTGAAAAGGGATTTCTTAATATTCTGGAGATAATCTTCTACATGTATATAGTTTCTATAAAGCTTCATAAGTAATATTCCCATTTGAGGCAGCAAATGCAGTAGCCGATGCAATACGTTCCATGACTATAGCCCTTATGTTTTTATACAGAGATATCTTCAAAAATGCCACCTCCTTTATGGTTATTTCTTTTTACAAACCTATGACTAAAGGTAACCAAGGTGATAATCCTTGATTCACTGGTTGTTCCAAGGCTGACATGGAAGAACATTAAGATCACGGCCTGAAAAGACTGAAAACTAGTTCATTATATATTCAGCCTTTAGCAAGCTAGACTGAGTTTTAAACCCCTGAAAATAAAGTGTATATCTTTTAGAGACTTGAGAAGCATCTTTCATTCAAAGCTTGGCAGCTCAAAAAAGGATGTATCTACCAAGGGCATTTTAGTGGCCTTGGATCATTGATAGGATCCAGTCCATCATCATTGTTATGTGTTAAATGATAACTTGCTCCCATTCCAAAGAAAATATGAGAGAGGAAGTGGGGCACACATGCGAGCTCAGGCTCTAGACAAGTGGCCATAAAATGCCTACTTAGGGTAGTTGGAGATTTTTCCTCCCTCCTCATTTCCTTTCAGGAAGAAACTTTCAGTGAGGCATAGCCATTCACCAAAAGAAATGCAATTTCAAGAAAGTGTTATGAAAGCTGAGTAGTAAATTCTTGAGCCAAAGGGCATGAAGCAGGAACAAAAAGGATCATGGCATGCAGGCCGAGGAAAGCACACGCACGGGGCGGGAGAGGCAGTATCCACCAGAGCAACTCCAGCAAGAAGAGAAGGGCCCTGCGAACCATGATGCCTGCACTCCCAGGGCGCTCTCTGCTGCTGCCACTCAATGCCCGGCAAAGCTGTGGGCTTTCCGGGCTTCGCCTGCACGGTGGCACCCAACTCACTGCCACTTACTTCCCACCACTCCCTGGCACCCTCCTCCTCCTCACTCTTTCTTTTCTCCTCTTCTCCCTGCAGTCCTGTGGGCCACAGGCTGCTTCGATTCCTGCCTGAAGGACTCTCCTTCCTCTAAGCTCTTCTCATCTCGCTGTAATTCTTGATGTGCTGAGGGATCTTCTCGCACGTTCCAGGGCAGTGATTCTTCAGGTTTATTTACAATTCATGCCACTGTGCACATCGTTTAATTGTTCTCTGGTTTTATGTGTGTTTATTTTGACAATCTTTGAAGTTAGATACACTATCTTAATATGTTGTCTTTATTGAAAATAATAAAGATGTATTGAACATTCACCAGGTATCAAGGCACTGTGTTAAGTGTTCTAGAAATATCTCATTTAATTTTCACAACTGTCATATGAGGTAGGTGCATTTCACAGATCTATTTTCCTTACAAGCACTTATTAGGTACTGCTGTAAGCACCTTACCAATATTAATTTGTTTACGCCTCATAACAATTCTATGGGGTTTGCTAAATTATTATGCCTGGTTTACGGACTAGTGGCTAAGGAAGCTGAGACACAGAGAGGAGAAACAACTAGCCCCAGGTCATAGTTAGTGAGCAGCCGACCAACGTTCCAACCAGCAGAGTTTGACTCTGAAGCCTGCACCCTGAACACCGAGCACGTGGAAATAAACGTTAGTTCAACTCACACGGGAACAAATAAGTACTAGTTTTAAATGACCTAGTGAGCATCAACAAACGCGTATTTAAACAGTGAATAT